TCATACGTAGGTTGCTCCATAATTTTTTTAAAAATGGTACTTATAGTGTTGCCCGATGTAAACCATTGTCATATTCGTAAAGTTTGATGTTTTGGTATGTATTCGTGCCCTGAACCTTTTGTCGTACGAACGCTATTTGTATTGTTTACAGTGACTGGTAAACTGCGACTCAACAAAAAAATGAATTTTACACGTGAAGATTTTCGTAAAATGATTTACTACGATTTTCGAAGTAAATTATCTCAACAACAGTGTTTCGATCGACTTCATTTGGCCTTTGGCAATGAAGCACCAACCCTTCAGACAATTTATAACTGGTACCGAGAATTCCGTTGCGGTCGTAGTTCGCTCAAAGACGAGTTTCATACAGGTCGTCCAAAATCGGCTGTTGTGCCACAAAACATCGATGCTGTCAGAAAACTGATTATGGAAGATCGTCATGTGACCTACCGTGAGATTGAGGCATCTTTGGGCATTTCATCCCACAGCATACATACAATTTTGCATGAACATTTAGCCGTAAAAAAGATTTGCTCTCGTTGGATCCCACATAAATTGACCGATGAACAAAAAATGGCTCGTGTGAGTTGGTGTAAAGAAATGCTCAAGAAATTCAATCGTGGTGCTTCAAAAGACGTTAATAAAATCGTCACTGGTGACGAATCGTGGATATATGCCTATGAGCCCGAAACGAAACAGCAGTCTGACTGTATGGGTCTTCCAAAATGAAGATAACCCAACGAAAGTTGTTCGAGCAAGAAGCACTTCGAAGCGAATGGTCGCCTGTTTTTTCGGGAGAAGTGGTCATGTGGCAACCGTTCCACTAGAGGATCGTAAGACCGTCAATTCTGATTGGTATACCACCATTTGTTTGCCCGAAGTGTTTGGTGAAATAAGAAAAAACAACCACCGTCGCAAAATAATTCTTCATCACGATAATGCGAGCTCTCACACATCTTTTCAAACTACTCGATTTTTGACCGGTCAAAACATCGAACTGATGGGTCATCCACCGTACAGTCCTGACCTGGCACCCAATGACTTTTTTTTGTTCCCAAGCGTGAAGAAAAAACTACGTGGTCAACGATTTTCGACACCAGAAGAAGCAGTTGAAGCGTTCAAAACACACGTTTTGGAGATATCAGTTTCGGAGTGGCACGAATGCTATGACAAATGGTTTCATCGAATGCAAAAGTGTATCGATCATCTCGGGGAATATTTTGAAAAACAATAAAACCATTTTCGACAAAAAACAACTGTGTTATATATGTTTTTAAAAAAAATTATGGAGCAACCCTCGTATAACACAACCAATAAATAACTTTCAGCACTTGTTCATTGCATTATACCATGATTTTCGTGATAATTTATTCAAATTCAGTTTCACTCATTTGAAATTTAATGCTTTCTAAATGGATACGACGAAGATGACAAAAGCTATACCGATTTCTAACCAAGACTGATTTCCAATTGATATACATATTTAACGGTTAATTGATAAGAGAATTGATTCGCAGTTTTGAATACTAATGAAATTCAAGGTATATGTCGCACATTTGGATCATATTTAATTTCAAAATCTATTTGAACTTGATTCCTTGCAAGTTACAATTCATCTAATTAGATATTAAGTGTTCATCAAATGTCAATTCGAATTTTCAACCAGATTTCAACTAATGAAATTTCATTCCCATGCTGAATTTTACCATCAACAATTATAAAATGATTTAAAAAAAAGATGTTGAAGTGATGACACAAATATTCAATTTGGGAATTTACTCTGAAATTTACAAAGAAATTTTACCAATTTTTCTCGCTTTTCCGAACTAAACTTCCAGAACACTTTGGACCTGGTCGGATCCACCTGCTCCACAAGATTGATTTCCAGCTCACGATCACTTATAAATGCAGTTTACTTTATAACATCATGTGAGATGAAGTCATTTACTTACATTACATCAAAGCCAAAATATCTAACAACATCTACGGAATCAAAGCAGTTAATGTTTTGTTATGATTTTTCTTTCGATTTTTATTTGTATAATTATTAGATCGGGATAATCAAGATCAAAATTATCTATTTCATTGTTTTCATTCGGTTTAATTTACTATCGATTTTTACTCGAATACTTATGAGTCATATAAATGCTTAATAGATTCAAATATTGTAAAAGTCCAGTTTCCAAATCAAACCTCTTGGAAATTTGACGATCTTAACTCATTAGTTTATGCATAGCGTCAATTCATATCATTTGCCCTCGTTTCAAATCACGCAATTTATTTTGCTTGTGACTGTAGTTAAAATGGTGATTGGTATTCCATTTTTATGTTTAGCGGAGAAATTTCAGGTCTACCGCAATCGAATTATATTGAAAGTTTTATTATTACGTTTTTAGACATCGATGAAAGATACGATAATTTATAAATGATTGAAAACTATTGAAGCTTATTCAAAACTTTGTCGTCTACTACAGTTCATTGCTTTCCCAAAAAAAAATAAAAGAAAATAATGAAGAATTTCGCTTGTGATGTATCACAATCCGAACTTGGTAAAAAGTAGTGATGTTGCATGATAATCATGATAAAAACGTTCGAAAAGTCGGAAAGCAAGTCCCGGCGCTTGCTTTGCTTTTTATATATCGTCGCCGGGTAAATGCACATCTATTTGCAAAATAACGCGATAATAATAGATAAATCATGATTTATCTGTAGTGTTACACGACTAACTAACGATGTACATTCATGTCTTGTTGTTTTAATAAAATTTCATAAAATCGCGTTGACAAGAAGAATTATCTTCGGATGCAGTTTCTCACTGCACACACTTGCTCGCTCTCACCACTTTACGAAATTAATTTTAAAATTAAGTTTCTCATTTGTGTATACACTGTATGTGTGGTGATGATTAATCACACCGTTTTGTTTTAAACTTTTTTTCAGTTGGCTATTTCAACAAGTCACAGATATTCGCTTTTCTTTATGAATCATAATAATTTATGCGACGAAAAAGATAAACCGTATTTCAGATGAATCTGGTGGTTTCGCTTAAAGCCCCAGGAAAATAATAAAAAAAGCACATGTTGAAAAATGGCATCGTTGCTGGTTTAGTGCTGCGATGAAACTTTGATGTTAAATGCAACGATGGTGGCATTAACCGTTCTCTAATCGATTTCCATTTGAACATTTAAAATCATAACGTAAATTTTACAATGCAAAAATGAAAACGTTTGCTGATTTTGCGATTGACTTCTTCACAATCACAATATATGTGGTTGAAAATATATATTGCATGCACTCAAGTTTGTATCGTTTATTTTTTTTTTATTTCGGTTTGAGGCGCGACCATAATTTTCAACAACCACAGCATAAGATAACATTCAGCAGTCCCAACGGACTCATTCGCTCGCACTCACTCTCAGTATATCTTTGTCAAACCCTTTAATAGCTTTGTGTGTCATACGTTTTGACAGTGATATTCAAAGCGGTCGAATGTGTTTGTGTGGTGTTTTTTCTCATGTAGTTTGTTTCAATTTTTCATCGGTCACTCATTCCAATTAGATTCGGTCAGGTCATTTCCCATCATTGTTCTTCATGTTGTTCTTTTTATATTGGTTACCATTTTTCGGCTAAATCTTTATCCATTTGTTGAGCAAATTTGTTTGAATAGAATCCGTATGGTCACAGAGTAGATCAGTTAAAAATCGAATGAAAAAAAAAAAACAATCGGAGCCAAACCAAGGGAGAATGAGACATGTCGAAGCATGAGAAATAAAATCCCGTTGTACAACTTTGCTTTCCTTCCGCATGTCATCAATTTTGCGACAGTGTATTCGGTATGTGCGGTGGCTATCTTTCTCTTTTCCACATACAATCGACATTAAATACGAAATACTAAGTTCGAAAAGTGGCGAGAACGTTTTGACTTCAATATGTTGATTATTATTATGATTTGCTAAGGATATTTGCAAGCTTACATGTGAACGAAAGCCCTCACTGGCATATACTTACTTTGCCAAGCAAGTATTGACTAAGTCCCTCTTCCTACCCCCATCTCTCTCTACACCTCCCTCACTCTCACTCTATCTCTTTCCCATACAAAACCGAATCAAATGAGAAAATTTATTATTTTGAAATAGAGATGAAAAAGGGTTGGCAAACTCGCATTTACTTCCAGTTAACACTGGGCAAGAGTGAGCGAGAGACGGCGACGACATATAGACGACAACAACAACAACGACGATGATGTTTGCCACTGCAATCCGATACATTTTCATCTAATGGTAAATGGTTGCACATAAATTTTCCTCGTTATGGTTTTCTTTTTTCGATATTTCAACAAATCGTACCGCAAGAAGTGAGTAAAAAACCAAATACACATCAACATTGGAAGAAGTGTAGAAAGAGGATCGAAGGAGAAAAAAAGCAACACTCCGACGAACAAGCTCTGAAGCGAGCGAAAGCCATTCACAGAAATAATCGCTTTTACCCTCAATGTTTGTACGAGTGTTTTTTTTTTCTCTCGTTTTCTTCACTGCACAGCAGTAGATTTTTTTGGTTGATGTTTTAGTGACCGTTGGCGGTTGAACTACGCTCAGATAAAATGTTTTCTCATAAATTTTCCGCCCGTTGTTGTTAGTGTACGAGTATGAATTGTGTTTTTTCGCACTTCTTTTGCCTTATTCAGGTTTTTTTTTTCCTTTGGCCACTCGCATTGGATGAACAAAAAAAAGTCTTACTCACATTTCATATAGAGTTGACCAATACTTTATGATGCCCAACAGCCAGTGATACGCGAAACATTTGCAAATTCAGCAGCTATACAGTATACACTCCTAGAGAGATAAGGGGACCAAAAAAAAGACTCGGACTCGGAGTTTGCTTACACCAAGGGATTGGGGTGGACGAGTTTAGCTAAAGAAATGTGTTCAACAAAATTTTGCGTTGATGTTCCAGAAAATCCATAAAATACTACACAGAACCACTTGTTCGATATTTTTTTTAGTTGGTTTATTGATCGACTGTTATAAATATTTAATTAATCCTCATCTTATAAAAACATATCCACAGAACCAAAACAAAGAAAATATTGTTTTCTTTGATTGAAAAAATTGAGCGTTTCTTTTTCTTCTCTTTCATTCTCTATTCACACTTTTACCAAACGCTGCATTTTTTCGGCGGATTCATTGCAGACGCTGTACTACATCCGAATGCATCGGAAAACTCCTTTGAATTTGATAATGTGCCTGGGAGAGAAATAGATGGAGATGGTAAAATGCACTTTGGTTAGATTCCATGGGAATTGAAGAGAATTGCACCGAAAGCAATATCGAAGAGTTATTGTTACCTATTACTCGATACCGTGCTGGGCTGTGAACGGCCGTCTTCATTTTATTCTTCGTTGCCTCTGGTCGCATCGCGCCTGAAAAACTCATATGATTAATTATAGTTCAATTGTATTTAAAATGCAGAACTATTTACCACACCAAACTTGAGCGAAATTAAGGAAAAACAACTGTTTATGGGTGACATTTAATCCCTCCAGATGCTCTTGATTGATGCATTCAGTCGTTTGGCAATGATTTTTCAGCCATTTTTCGTATGCACGATATGCTTGTTTGATGCCACCATTATCAGCTATATTTTCACCTTGCGTTATGATTCCGTCCACAGCCACACCACCGATATCGTTCATTTTATAATTACCATACTGTGATATCAAACAACTCGCACGCTGATGGAAAACTTCAATCGCTGGTTCGCTCCACCATCGATTCAAATTACCATATTGGTCAAAAAGACGCCCTTTATCATCAAATCCATGAGTGAGTTCGTGACCGATTACAACACCTACAAACAAAAAATGGAAAAATTCTAATTAAAATGTAATTGAAGATGAAAGTCAAGCCAGGAACAATGAAAATGTGAAAATAACCGATTCCCCCGAAGTTGAAGCTGCGTGGAAGAAAACGATGATAAAATGGGGGTTGTAGCATGGCTGCCGGAAAAATTATTTGGTTCTTATTGCGACTATAATATGCATTCACAACAGCCGGATTTGTATTCCATGTGGTTCGATTGACTGCCTCCCGTAATTTGGTTTGTTCCGACCGTGTCAAATGGCGCAGAACATTTAAAATATTTTCAAAATATCGTTCCGGATGAATATCCAAGTCAGCGTATTTTTCATTAAGTTGCTCTTCATTTAAAATATAGTCGGGATACCCGATTTTCAGTGACATTTTATCAACTTTCGATTCGGCCAATGCTTTTGTTTCGTCATCCAACCAATACGTTTCGTTGATTATTTCCCGAAAAGTGTCTTGCAATTCGTGTGTCATGGCAAGCGTGTCTTGTTTGCTGTTATCATCGAAATATTCGCGTACAAACATTGCCCCTGAAAAATTCAAATGAATTAATTATAAACGTTTAAAGTTTAAGTTGCAGACACATTTACCAACGGCCATGCCCATATTCGAGTTCACTTGATTGACGCAAATTTTCCATCGTGGCGGTGATTGTTTTCGTCCAATTAAAACATTATAAAATTGTTGTTTTGCTTCTTGAAATCGATCGTCTAAGCTATTTATGCGATGTCGTACAAATTTCCACAGCATATAATTGGCCACTATTCGGGCGTCCACATTGTTTATCAAATGAACAACGTCTTGCATGAAATTGAGCGCAAACATAACAATCACTTCGTTTCGATCAATTTTTTGCTCTAAAACAATTTGCAAATAGTTTTGCCAATCGATTTCGGGCACATAATCGTAGAGCATGGCAACGGTCATGCGTCGATACAATTGAGTTACATTTATTCGTTCTTGAGGAGATGCCATTATTGATGCCAATTCAATTTCAAACTTGACAATTTCTTCAGCCGCTTTGATGCTATCGTTCACATTTGCGCCACACAATTGAATCACTTGCTGTGCAAATGCTTGATACGCTTCGAGGTAAACATGGTTCGATGATTTGATAAAATAATCTCTAGTCGGCAGGCCAAGTGAATTTTGATCAAATTGAATGACGTTTTCGTTTGAGTTTTTTATATCCGGTCCGACCCACTGCATGATGAACACATCATTATTATAAAGACGCAATTTCGCCGCCAATTCCAACCAATTGAATTTTGATGCATCCCATTTATCGCCATCAAGTACGGGCCAACCTCCCAATGTTTCAAGCAATGCATACAATGGAGTCAATTGCCGTTGTTCCAATATCTCTGAATTCATGCATGATTTGTACAGATTTTTTGCTTTTTTCTCCGCACTTACGATTGATTTTTCGGCATTTTTACTTCCTTTGATGATATTGATTTCAATCGAATCTGCACTTTCAGTTAATGGCATTTCACTTGTACTTACATCATCATCGATTCTACTGTTGCTTGTGGTGCTGATGCTATCAGTATCCAATGTCTTTATTTCACTCTCTGCCAACAAACCATTTAATTCAATATCCAAAATTTCACGTAACATTTCAAAAGTGTCATACGCAGCTTTGTCTTTTGGTATTGGATTTAATTTATCCCAATTGCCTGAAAAACTCATATGATTTATATTATTGAAATTCAATTATATTTTAAATGATGCAGAACTATTTACCACACGCATACTGATAAAAATCTGAGCAAGGCGGCACCGTCGAATCCATATACTGTTTTATAATTTCCACTTGACTATTTCGTATTTGATCGTATGTCTTGCCACCTTTCCAAAATGTTCGTAAAAATGCCGGTATTTCCAATGGTTTATCACCGACCGTCTCTTTGTTGTAATCGTCGTTTGCATGCGTGCTATGTGCATCGCTGTCATTATTTCGTTTGCTTTGATTTGCGATAATGTCGTCAATTTGTCGACGTCGTCGTCGATGCTGAAAATCTCCCGGCCCATGTTCATAGCTCAATCGATTAAAATCAATCGAATCATCATATTTATTGATCCATCGTCTTAATTGATCAACACCATTTGATTGATTCATGTGATGCGTTTTAGATAGATTACCGCCACTACCGTCGTCATTGATAACACTATTTATGCGTTCTATTTCATCGTCCGACATTTCGCGATATCGACGCAAACACATTTCCGATGGTATAAATGAAGTGCGAATATCACGAAACAAATCTTTGTCATACATATCAATCGATTTTTCAACGCCATTGGCATCACGAAATATTTCACAATTATGATTGATGATTGCCTGCAATTGATTCACATCCCGTGTTTGTAAACGATGATACGCCTCCAAATCGGTGGACATTTTTACCCGTTCGGTGGTTGGTAATACTTCGATGCGACCAGTGAATGTGCTCGATATACGCATCATCAGTACAAATACAACAATAATCGGCAGTAGAATGATAGGTAAGACTAGTAAAAATTTTATAAACTGACAGTCTGGACACCATTTTACTCGTCCACTTTTTTTATCCACACCGATGCGACAATTTATTGAATTTGTTACTGATGTTTGCGACTTCAGCGGCGGTAAGTCATTTGGCGTCACTGCCTCAACATCAATGCCGCACATTTCATTTTCACCCTTTCCACTCATTTAAATGCACCTTCGTTTGTTATCAACCAAACACACGAATGTACACATAGAATGTTTTCAGATCACACAAAATAAGATACACGTCAAACCGTTCGAGCACTCATCGATCCATTGCTGTTTTAGAATGGCTATACAGTCAAAGTGCTCACATCTTTTTATGCACAATCTTAAATATAATAATTATCTCTTTTTTTTGCTTATTTAATTTTTTGTTTCTAGCACTTGTGACACTTTTTCGTTCTCTATGAGGAAGAAATATTGTATACGGTTTTCGAATAAAATTCGCATACGTCTTGTGATCGATGAACTAGTTTTGAGGCATCACGCGGGTAAAACTTGTTTCTTTGCAATTCAATTCGTTGCGAGTAAATTACTGCAATCGTTTTCGTTCTGCTTTTGCGATAAGATCTTGCTGTGAGTGAGCTCTTTGTACGTCTTGATGCAATGTGCGTGTCAAGCTATTCGTTCTTTCTATCTTGTAGTGTATCACAGTGCCTTAAAGCGAATTTAAACTCGTTGAACCAATTTAAATCAATTCAAAGTAATCAAAAACATAGAATGATGTACACACACGCTCACTCACACACACACAGACACATCGACCATAAACACAATTGTCCGAAGTCAATGGACAATAACGAAGAATACAAAACAACTCACATAATGCACATACACATAACTGAAGTGAATGAGAAAAAAAAAAGAGAAAGAGATAGAGATGAGCTCAAACAGCAATTAAATAATAGAGAGCTTGAACAACAATCAAAACAACAATCACAATAAATATAATCGACACAAAACTAATAATAGCCTCGGGACTATTCTATTTCATTCGATTGATTTAGAACATTTTTGCATCGCATTTTATTCCCATCGAATTTTCAAACTGCGCCAAATAATTTATAATTTAATGAGAATATCGCTGTATGGACAATTTCACAAGTGGGACTATTTGCAATCAAATGAAACGAAATTGCTAGATTGCTTCTTCTAATGACAAAAATATTCAATAACCAAATGTTCATAAAGGAAACATAAAACGAAATTAAAAAAAAAGACTTTTTCTTTTATTGTTATCAAATTGAATCAAATGCAATTGCTTCGCATTCTCAAGTCAATTGTAAGCGAAAAAAATGCATGCGAGCGCACTCCAAAATTGTAATAATATTCTCTTTAAATTAATTGATTTATTCGAATGGCATGGCATTTATTTAGAGCAAATTGTTGTCAATACATCCAGATAAAACTCCATTGATGGCTCGCTCGCGTATACACATGCTCAACAAATTAACAATTTTTGTTGTCTTTTTTCAGTTGAAATTTCTATTCCTAAAAACAAAGATCTACAACGGAATAGAAACGTTTGAATGGCATTTTGTTTTGTTTTTTTCTTTCGTCGACAACAATTTATGTCGTTAAAACACCCACGACCTCGACCTACCTCTAATTTAATCAATTCAATTGAATAAAACGCATGTGCCAGATTCCAAACAGCGCCTGAAATTGCAAGCACCGTTTTTCAATTCGTTCCAGTCAACCTTGCACATAAACACAGTCGTGGGTGCCGTTAATAATAATAATGGCAGTAAAACATTTCATGCGACAACGGTCTTTCCGTACATCAAACGAAAGAAATTGTATCGCATTGAAACCGGGAAATCAAAGTTACCATTTAATAGCTGTAAATATACGTATTTGAAATGCACCCTTCTTTGTTTTGTGGCCATCAATTTATGTACTCTGTACGTCTCCATTGACGTCGACATACTTGTATATTTGCAAGACTCAATTCAGTAGCATTGTCTTTTCCGTGCACTTTATTTCAGCAATCATCATAATAAAAATGAAGGCAACATAAAAATCGAAACCGTACTCGCGCCATTTGAAGATATGCACGTAATATAATTCAACTGAAACGCAGATATACCACACAACTGAAATTCGTTCACAATATTAATCCAAGAGCTTCAGAGAATCGTTACGTGGCGCTAGATGTAGTGGAACGTGCGGTTGTACAAATGACGATAAAATGGTTATCAAATACACCATGCCGATTTTTATGGGTGGCGCAAGCGAAACACACAAGATACATATTCCAAACGTTTTAGCGATATAATTTGCTGATGATTACTTCTCTTTGAAACTTCTCCTTTCACTTTTTTATAGTTATCAAAAAAAAATTATGATTGTGTCAATTATTATCATTTTCCGTATTTTTTTTTTACATTTTATTCAACTTTTACGTCAATATAATCGAAAAATGTTTGGATAAATGCCCGAAATTCAATGAAACATATTTCCAGAGCTGTTATTGGTACCGGCGATTTGAGAGCACTCACTGGTGCATAGTGTCACATCTGAACACTAGAAAGAGCAGTACTTGCAAAATAAGACACTTATACGGTACCTATAACAGTTCTTTTAGTATCTTGCATCACTCGCTACCGTTTATGTTTCATTGATATTTATTCGGGTATATTGGAATCTCTATCAGCGATATCGGGTATTTGTTAAAACGGCATTCCTTGGATTTGATTTTGGTTTCTTTATCTATATGTTTTCTCTAGGTTTATGCTAGAGTGTGAGAGCGTTGGTGCGGTGTTTTTGTGTGTATTTAGTTGAGAAGAGAGGCGATTGTTTCGTGTGCTTCGGTGTTCTTTTGCGGGGGTAGTTCAAAATGAATTCATCACAAACATTCTCTATCTCTCTCTCACTCTGCCTTTCTCTTTCTTTCATTCCACCAGTACAGTGAAAATATCTTCAGTGAGACTTAAGTAAACGATTCGGAATACACATTGAGTTTGCTGAGCTTTTACTATTATTACTTTGGCTGCGAGCAATCTATATTGAAATCCTTTTCACACATACGCACCCACACATGCATGCCCATGTACAAACTTAAAAACTATCGTTTGTCGATTGTGTATTTTTGAGTATCGTACGGTGTCTTGAATTTGTTCATTCTCTTTATTATATTGCATCAGAAACTGGTTGTCTCTTTCGATTTCACTTATGAATCTCTCTAGCAATTGTCGTTGTTTTTGTTTATCTGTGTGCATTTTGGTTTGGCTTTGGTTCTTTACTCTTTCTCCCTCTCTCTCTCTCCCTTTCTCTTTTGCCGGTGTCGATGTTGTGTTTTATTTTTTCCGTTTCCCTTTCAACATTTTGTAGATAACTATGTTTATCTATTTTATTACTTTGTTGTTTTTTATGCTTCGGTCTTTTCTTGTTGTCGAAGTTTTGACTTGAGCATATACACATATCGTCACAAACATTTTGCATTGCATAAAGACGTCGAAATGTTAGTCAATATTTTGTCTGTGAAATAAACGAATACGCTATCTTTCAACCACAAAATGTTGTCTTGGAATGCATGATTTTCTCAAAAATCCGGCTTGTGCACCCTCCCGATAAAGAGCAGAGCAAAAAAAAAAGAAACATAAATCCTGATGAGCGAATCGATATGAATGGCATGATACCCGTTCGATGAAACGCACAAAACGGCGAAACTTTTACGGCTAAAAACAACAAATAAATGCTATTTCACCAAATACGAGATACGATCGATAGCAACAACAGCAGATATGCGCACCCATTGAGATATTGTCTGACTGTGTGGCGGTTTTCGCTACAATCGGTTTGCGATGCAACCAAATAAAAAAGAATTATTTATTGAAAAAGAAACACAGATCCAAAAGCCCATTAACCACACAGAAAATGCGCTCAACAACAACTATTATTTCTCTCTTCCTCACTCACCCACCAAGACCCCCAGTACGAATATTCTCTTTCTGTGTGCATGCAGAAGTTGCGCGTCAGCACAATTCTTTTACTTTTTTGATTCGTAAAATGGCATTTTTCGATTATATATTTTGTTTGGTTTGTTGCATAGAACACAGTAGCTAAAGGGCATTCTTTCAATACTCTCTTCCTCTCCCCTATCGCTGTCTTTCTTTCGTTTTCGCCATATATGAATGAGTGTTGTGTCAAACAAATAAATTTTACTCAAAATGCTACACAAAAGCAGAAAATTACTTTATCATTTCGATCGGTCTTTGTGTTTCCGAGTGTGTATGTGTGTTTGAGAGAGAAAGGAAGATTTTTTTTATTCAGACGACCAATTTGTGAATCTAAATCGAACGTTATTTCTCTTGCTCTTTGTATTTTTCATGCAGCAATTTTATCTTCTCTGGGTACGATGTTTTCTTTGTAAATTTATCATGTATTTCTCAACGAATAAAATAGCTGTAAACTTGCAAGATCTATGAATCAGATATATGTATTTTTGTTTTGGTTGTTGTAACCAAATTGGTGTAAGCATCAAAATGCATGCGATTGTTTTTATTTTCGCCAATTTTGGGAAAAATTGGTGAGAATGCAAATTACATTGGCGGGTTGTATGGTGGGTGTATGGCATACATGTTTCGATTTTTATCTATTATATGATATCGACAATGTACAATTGATAGCGGAAAAATTGCACATAGAAATAATCAGCGGAAGATTAAAATACAGTAAAAACTCACGGATCGCACACACACCATATCCATCGATTTTGATCCGAAGATTGGCAAGGAATTAAGATTAAAACAGCGTTTGTATTATGAGCACAAAAAACATCGTGTAAAAATATTATATTTAACACGGCGGCGATGTACCAGACTACCATACAAGAGAGAGAGATACATGTGCATAATGCATATTCTTCCTCTTGTTACAGCCATTCAACGCAAAATCCGATTATTGTGGTAATAAAATGATGCAAAAAGCCGGCTTTATGATATATTCAAAATGCGCTCACACTTTAGACAACCTGAAAACCACACACATAATAGACGGTTTTTTGTTAAATTTCCACATTTTAATTAAATAAAGATGTAATTTTCTGCCTGTGTGATATACATGCGGTGGATAGTGCATAGCAATGGTTTTTAGATTGTGCATTTACCTGCAATAACATACTTCAATTATGATGAATGAATTGGTTTTGTATTATATTTTTAATTCATGTGAACCTGAACGTACTAAAGTGACAATGACTACACGCATCGCATCGTTGTGTTCGTGTGGTTTGAGTGTTTTTTATTGTCTAACACCGATGGCGCTTGTTTGCTCATTTTATGTTACATTTCGTCTTCCAAGTCTCTCACTGCGAATATAATTGATGAAAACTCTTCGATTGTACTCAATTCATGTTATTTACCCAAGTACTCTCTTACTCTCTCATTCTCTCTCTCTCTCTCTCCATGTTTTCCATAGTTATTGTTCCCGTTTTGAAAGTCGGTGTGCGGCGCTAAGCTTGGGCAAAGGCGTTAAAAATACATTTCATGCACAAATGCCAAAAACATTCCCTCTCTATACTGTATACAGTAACACTTGATCCAGTCGACAGCTGCAATCGAATCAAAAGTGTGACAAGTGCAATTGTGTATGCGGCATCAAGTGCTATTGATTTTCCAAGCGAAATGCTTGATGTACATCGCATTCGAATACGTATTCGAAATGTACGAAATGAGCAAAAATAAAATTCCAAAATTGCGCACTTCAGTGTGCAGTACACTTTATCGAGTGTGCACTTCAATGTGAATTTACTTTGTTAAAGTTTTTGATACCGGAGAATTTTCTATGAATGCATACAAAATGCAACCGACAGACAGACTGAAGCGATTGTTGTGTTGATAGTGAAGTTATCTTCATTCATTAATTTAATTATATATTATGTGTGTTCAGTTCAAGCAACAAATAAACACATTAGTCTTCCTCTATATTGTCAAGTGCACATCATTTCACACTCAACTTTTCGCATAAACTGTTAATTGCATAATTCGAGATGCTCGCGCGCGCAAACAAACAATCATTTCGATTTGGTATGTCTTCCGCGTGCTTTTTTTTCTCTCTATTCTACGGCGCTTTCGCTTTCCGTTGTCCCATTTTTCATTAAATCAAAAGTATGATAATTTTACTCGAGAAAAAAAACATATGAAAATTCTGAAATAAAAACAAGACAAGAAAGTTTTGACCCTTCGCATTTCCTGGCTTCCAATTCATCGTGTCTCTAATTGTGAAGGTCATTCGGTTGAAGAAAACCATCCAAATAAAACAGAAACACTCTCATAATTTTGATGGCCGAATCTGACTTTTCATGACTTTTCATGTCATTATCATCAACATTACCATCGTCAAACATATAACGCATTTGAATAATTCTGTGCAAATTTTATTCTTTGGGGGGCCTTTGTATGAATACATTATTTTTCATGCACTTCTTTAATTATCTGTTTCTTTATTTCTTTTGCAACAAAGTTTTTCTTTCTCTCCGCCTTCACACTTATCACTCTCTCTCTCACTCTCTCACTATCTCTCTCTCTCTCTTTTTCTGTATTAATTTATTTTTCCTCTATACAGCTGCGTGAAGAAAAAAATAATTCAACGCGAAACGAGCAAATTGCTTAATTAGTTTGAGGGAGATTTACAAACACAATGTGAAAACATGAATTTGAAAAAAAAAACGAAGAAAAAAAAGTAAGGAAAAAAATAAAGCAAATGAATAAGAAACCAACAGCAGCAGAAGCGTTCAGTGAGTATGAACGCGTCAACACATACATAAATTGATGAATACGAATGAAATAATGTGTGTGCATCGCTCATTCGGCATGTGGTTTTACTTTGTACCGAAAATATTGGGGGAAAAGCAATGCCACCGTAATGGTTTCATTATAAATGAATATGAAAAAATGAAAGAAAGGAAAAGGTGAACATCTTCAACGCAATTACGTTTTGTTTATAAATACATGTTAATTTTTTGCAAAGTTTTCAGTATTTCATCATCATTCAAAGTAAATTGAGATCAAAAGTTTGTGCAAGCATTAATGCAGCGAAACAGTGATTTTTTTCTCATCAGTAAAACAACAATTTTTTGAATTTGTTAATTTTTTTTTTGTGCAAAGATAATATTTGGACTTTTTTTTAAATGCGAGAAAAAAAAGTGTGAACACAAATATGTTTACACACAATTTGACATTTTTAATCAATATTTTGTCATTGTTTGTTTCAATTTGGGATTTTAAATGTGCGCTTTCGATGCCAAAAAGGTATCGAGTGTATCGATCAAAAGGACCACCGCCAATTCCGACGATTCTCGCATTCAGCCAACCGCCCCGGTTGGGCTCGGCTCAAAATTTTCACTCAAACTACGCATCGCCACCGTTTATGATGAACAATGGAATATCCAGTTACAGTCCATCGGGACCTTATGATTCACCCAACAACAATTTGGATTATCAACCACCTGGCATGGATTATGGGCCTCCGAAAATTGGCACCGAATATGGACCTCCGAAAATTAGCACCGAATATGGACCACCGTCATCATCGAAACCAGTCATTCATAAACATGTAATGAAAATGTTGACCTTTTTAACAATCATGATTTTTTCAACAAATATTTTTGTGTTCATTTCATGCTTTTCAAGATTTACGTTCACATCCCGCCGCCTGAACCCGAAGAGCCTATTGTGAGGTATGTTCTTTTTATTGAAAATTAAAAAAAAAACAAAAGCTTAAGATGGTTTTGATTTCGTAGAACACCACTTACAACAGTCGCGCCGCAGAAACATTACCGAATCGTATTCATCAAAGCTCCCACCGAAGCACCAGCTACATATCCCACAATACCATTGCAGGTAATGTGATTTCTTTTGAATAAAGTGATGCAGAAAAATGTTACCTTTTGTATATTGTAGCCACCCGATGAAGAAAAGACTCTTGTGTATGTGCTTGTGAAGAAACCAGAACCATTGCCAGACTTGGTACTACCAAAACCTGCTACAACTGTACCAACAAAGCCTGAGGTGTATTTTATACGCTATAAAACGCAGGTATGAATTGGAAAAATTGCAAAAAATCCTTATTATAAATTCACACTTGAAAGAGAATTTATTTATTCGGATTCGGAAACGGATCCTATGAAAATGAAAAGAATTATTAAAAATACATGTTTCTTGAACAAATCAAAAGAAGTGAATGTTAACTGTTCTTGTTTCAGAAGGACGAAAATAGTGTACCTTATCCGCCAAGTGGTAGCAGTGGTAATGGAAATTCAAATCCAACGAAAAATTACCCACCAAACAATAACATACCAAATTCTTCGTACGGGCCCCCAGATACATCTTATGGCTCCCCAGAAACTTCTTATGGACCGCCTCCAAGTTCGTACTCCGGATCCGGCTCTTCTTCAACGTATCAAACGACAATTCCGACATTGGGCCCTCCATTGGCCTCATACATGATAAACAGTCGATCGTTGAAATCAAAGCGAGGAAATAATTTTTTGTAAACTCTCATTATTACAATCACGCGTTGAGGCCCGACAAAACAAATTACCAGACAAATGTGTGTTGAAATTGTCATAAGAAAGTGCTAATATTTATAAAAATTGAAGGCTTAGTTTGATTGTTAGTGACAGTTTCAATTATGCCGAGTGGATTCTTACAAAAAACCGATCGAATTGTTAATTTCACTTACAATAAATAATAATAAGACGAATTGAAATTGGTAATAATTTTTTATTCATCATGAACTCGTTTGAGATTGAAATTCCATTTGGTAAAAGCCATTAGATACAGTCTAGAGGAGTATAAAAGTGAAGAAAATCGCTTGCGATAGGAAGAAATAGAACGATGTATTCGTTCTGTGCAAATTCAATTCAGATTATTTCACTCCATTATTTCGCTCCGGCATGAAACCGCATCGTCAGCAACCAGAGCACTTCGTCTATCAAAGTGTTGAAAAGAAATCCGGCAATAAACACAATGGGAAAAGCTAAAATGAAATTAAGCATAGAAATTGACGTAATACACGAATGATTATATGTGTTCCACACATGCACCGATGGGCATATTTTTCTGCAAACAGTATAGGCTTCTTTCATTCAAACATAATCAAATCAATTGGAAGTAAAATTGTCACTTTGTCACTGTTCGATATGTATATTATATCTATTCGAATGTAGCGCCCATTGAAATGGATGCTCTGTGTGTGTATCTAACACCTTCAATTTTGTTTGTTTGTTGCTCATCGTTTGTTGCATTAATAAACAACACACATGAACTGAAATACCGATTGTTACATTGTTATTGTCACTTAACACATACAGAGCGATTTACTTTTGCGATGGGGCAATCTCCGCTCAATTCTCGACTCGTTTTCTCTTTCGCTCTTTGCAAAGCACAATAAACACAAATAAAATATCTATCTACAATTCATCTGAATTCATCTGCAAGTGTTTCGATTGTATTTTTATTGCATCGCTTTTTTTCTGCTCTTGTTCGTTTTGATTTCAGATCGCATTGTGTGTATGTTTTTTTTTCTTCTCTTTTTCCATTTTTCGTCTCATTTATGCTATCGCACACTTCAAATATTTCAAATAATATTGGTTGTAACAAGAGAGCTCACGTGTCGTGTATCAAAATCCAATATAACAGCTGTACAATGCGTTCAACGTTATTACGAGCGATACATATATACACACATATGAACTTGAGCCGAAGCGCACAATATCAATTTCTTTCGCAATTTAATATGAACATAGAAAGGCTGAAGAACACCGATGGCACATCGAATAGAATTGTGATACAGCATGCGAAAGACTCCAAATAGTCGGCATCATGTTAAAACATATGATATCTCGCTCGCGCGCACACATACACTATCCGATTGGTTACAATACAGATCGTCGTATTGTGATGACACTTTGCCATTTTCATTCTGGAAAATAGTTTTCTCTACATATTCTCATACTTTTAAAAATAGATACTTCTTCACCAGCGAAGGGGTTCCGAAGTGAAAAGAAATCCAAACGAATGACGTTATCTTGGTAAATAATAAAAAAAACTAACTCGGTATAAATATTTAAAAACCCATCGAATTTACAAGGAAGTTGCGTCAGTAATCAAAATTCTTTGCTTTGGATCCGTTGGAGGGGGCGGAATGAAATAGTCGAAAATAATCCTTGAAATGATGTATTAATATAGAGTAAAATGCGACACTTTGCCTCCGTTAAGTAAAGAAAAAAGAAATTGAAAATGTTCGGAACGTAAGTGAATGAAAATGTGTACACATTTTCCATCGAAAAAAAAAGGTGAACTAAGAAAAGAAAAGAAAAATGCGATGACCCCAGAGAGGAAAAAAAAACAATCACAAAAAAAGCAAGTAACAACAACAGCAATAACACAAATAGTGACATAAATATGTGACGGTGCAAAGAATTGGGGGAGCACACAAAAGATATTAGCTACAATTTTTGCAGGTTGGCTTTCTTGTCTCGGTGTGTGCTACGGTGTGTTCGGTCTCTCCATTTAACCGTAATATGGATACAATGGATGATAAATACGGACCCAATACCTTATGTGTAGTTATTCCTTTTTGTCAGGCACCAGTCGCCACACAACACATAAAAGTAACAAAAAAGCGCCAGCACACACACAATGAAAACATTAAATGAACCAGAGATATAAATGACTCGTATCGGTTTCACTGTTGTTTACCGCATGTGTTCTCGCTGCTCATTGTACTTCTTATCGATGGCGAAATAGAGGCGAAGAGAGAGCGGGAGACAATCTCGTTTCAGATTGTAATTTCAGTCAATGGGCGAGATGTGCTTGTGATGACACTTAGATGGTATTTGTCGGAGTTTCGTGCTGTCTGCCGGTATATGGTGGTGATACAAACGGAAAGAAAGATGTGTCTAAGTGCAAGCAATTCAGATGTGAATTATTGTATTGAATAAACACTCTTTATTGGCAGTTGGTGTTTGATTGTCGCAAGCAGATGATAAAATCGAGATACATTAACAGCAATTGGGTGTGCAAAAATGGTATCAATTGGTTTTGGTACATTTTGCGGTGTACAATTTCACAGAAGGAATGTACCATTTTGCTAACAACATATAATTTTTTTTCTTTTGCAATCTATTTGCGGTAATGCACTGTCTACTTGTAACACATCGAATAAATGTCGATGTGCTGGTTTTTGTGGTAGATGTGGAAATTGCCCCCGCGAAATTGTCATTGAACTTCAGCAAATATATTTTGGTATATTTTATACTCACTCCTTTCCTAGCTCTTCCACTCTTTAACCACTATCTTTTCCTCTATTTGTCACATTGCTGTCTGTGTCATTCTTTATTTTCAATTTTATTATTTTTTTCGAGAAAAAAGGAACGATGGACTTTTAAGTAAAATTAAAAATTTCGTTTCCATTTGGCATGTCAAAAACACGATCACATGACAGAAGTGAAAAAAAAAAATGTGAACGGAAGAATTTGAAAGCACCCTTTGAGCACTTGAAACGTATCTCAATTTTATCTGGAGTCCATTGTATAGCTCACGCCACACTCATTACGAGACTCGACAATTGAAAACGTATGATGATTGTGGGCCATAAATTGCACATGGCTGGTGCAAACAACGTGCCAACACACACACACACACACACACAGCCGAATACAAAGAGCAAGTGCGGTACACACGTTAAAGAATTTCCTTTATTAGCAACGCTATAAGCGGTGAATCGTTAGTGGCAGCGACAGGTAGAAATGATCGATGTGTACTGCAAACACTACACACAGCGCCCAATTATTCACACAAAGTCGTTTTGTTCTTATTCCCATTGCACACACACACAATTTTTCCACATATACAAAATAGAGAAAGCGTACACCGGAGCCAAGAAACATACGACGACAAATGTTTACGGTGAGTGGCTTTTAAACAAAGACAAAATATGTCATTATCTATGAGTCTATGCTGCGCCACATTTAACCACTTAAATGAACTTGGTGTATGAACATGGTAAGGAGAGAATATCAGAAAAACGTGTGCGCGTGCAGCGTTCTGCAATAGAGGAAAAAAAATCAGAATAAAAATAAAATAATTTTTCTGTGCTTATGGTGTTGAAGTGTCATTCGAGTCGATGATGATAGCAGCACAACAAAACACACAATAAACAGCAAACAAAAGGAAATGGCATCATACAAGCCATTTTTACACAATGCAGCTACTATTGAAAGTCAGTCCAGGGCGTTAAATAAATTCGCATTTAAAAAAAGAGAGAGATCTTCACGTTAAATGACTCTTTAACATGTAATTTTTTGTTGTATGCAGTTGTACTTGCTCTCGTTCTCCACCGCCAACATTTTCATATGTTTGCACAGAAATTCTTTTGCCATCACTTCCATGCTCGATGGCAGAAAAAAACCGAAGCCACTTTTCACAAACACAAAACAACAATGCCATTCAGCCAACCCGATAAGTGTGCTTGCATTAGAGTGATAAAGAGCCTTGAGGGTGCCATTTGATTCCGACAGAATATACTGCAGGCACAATACACAAAGTTCAAAGCAACGATGCAATTTACAAAATTGCTCCGGTTTGTTTGAATAGGTTATAATTAAAAGCCGCTCTCTCTCTCTCATCAAATACACAAAACACACCTGAACAATTTTTCGATGTACCATGCAGATATAGAACATTCTATTTGAATTTGCTGATTTTTTGTTCATTTATAACATGCCGAGAATTGAAAATAAATAAAAAAATAAATAAATATCTTTCTCTCTGTGTCGCCTTCGGTTTGTTTGTGGTAAATGACACTGGCTATAAATTATAACTCGAAGCAGTGTTGTATGTAATCAGAGAAAAGTCACTGATTTGGAAAAGTGTTAAGTGATTTTAAATGACTTTAATCATTTTCTCGCCTTCACCAAGAAAAATCTTTACGCAAAACGATGTAAAATCAACGAACCTTCGAATGTTTATTCAGCGATAGAAGCAAATGCGATGCAAATGAACGAACAAAGATTGCTGACTACTCTTTTTTCACATTACATTTATCAAGGGTTCGACAAAATTTATGAGCTACGAATAGACGACATCCCAGATACGATTGCAACTTTTTAAAATTATGATGAAATTTATATGGCAAAGACTCTAAATAAATAACAGTTTTTTTAGAAATAGCTACAATGTTATTTATAACCGGATCTATGAGCGATAAACTTGCGAAAAAGTAAGAGTCAGTAAAGAATGTTCACTAAACTGTGTGAGTGTGTGTTGAAAGCGTCAGTTTTTGCAGTTTCCAGCAATTTTCATTTTGAGTTTTGTATCGGGGTTTGAATGAGTGCAAAAAAAACTTACAGTTATTAGCTCAAAGGGATTACAAATGAAATTGAAATGAAAATGGGAACAGACGGTTAATTGATTTTTCAATCTCCTTCGTTATCCACGAATTGTCGATCATTTGATTGTTTCTCAAAACAACAACTCGCGTTTATTTAAAGCCATGAGCATCTGCTTTTTTTTTTGTGTTGAAGCTATCGCGATAAACGTGCATATAAATCAAATATAAAACATGTTCCCGAATAATGGTCATCACACACACACACAAAAAAACCAACTAAAAATACAAACTAAATCGAATGGTAAATATTTTGTGAAAATATTGACAAAGACAAAAAAAAAATGGAAATGCCCCATTCCCATGCATCACGCTCGAACGTGAGCTTTGGCAAGTGTTATTGTTTGATTTTCAATTCGATTCAATTACAGATTTAGGAAATTTAGCGAACGTAATCAACAAACACTTTTTGTTTGCATTGGTTGGCTCTGTGTGTAAACACGTAATTTTCAGTTTGGGTTGAATGCCGCTCACTACCCCACGGAGAGACTATTCCCTTTCACTCATTTTTTACCATTAAAAATTGGAATTCAAATGCCAATGTGTCATACAACATGCTACAATTTATATCTCGTTTCACAGTATTGCCTTCTCTGACGTCCAAATGGGTACAGATTGCGTGGCCCGAAATTGAATGAGTGCGTAATGCATTTGATTTCGGATTCGGGTTACTTTTTCCTCTCTCTCTCTCTCTTTGTTGCGCTGGTGCTATTTCGGCTGGTTACATATCGTAAATAAATTGTCAAAATGTTTGCATCAGTGTTAAAATTGACATGCAAACAACAAGTGCACTCGACAGTGTGTGCACTGTGTATATGATATGCACCAGTTGAATTCAAACACTTTCAAATGCAACAAAAGCATCAATTTCCCATCGAAACATTTTAGTTTGGTCCGCTCTGCTCGGTGCCCGATATTTTCAGCAAAACATAAATAATACGAAAAATTGCATCAGTTATACAAAAGTTGTTTTCGACGGGTTGGAGGAGTTATTTACTCGGAAAAGAGATACATTGCAATGTGTATCGAGAAAAAAAACAACTCTCCACGGTCAATATTAAAAATGGCGAGTAAAATTCGTTTTGTGTGTTTACTCTTTAAATCGAGCGTATGTGTGTACAGTGTACATACGAGAGATGCGAAAAAAGCAAATTGGCTAAAATAAAAATTGTGCACAAATTCAATTTATATTTTGATGCTTGTTTTGTGTACGTGTTTCCATTGTATTGCCGGCCGGTCAATTGTTATTTTCACAAGCATAATATTTTTACGTGTGTCTGCCGACGGTTGTTGTTTTTTTACACCTTACAATAATTTCATATCTCTCGTATTTGAGAGATCAATGACACAAACATGCAAATATTTACTTTGAATAATTTGCAAGCCGGAAAACTGGATACACTTTGTTTGTTTTTTTTCTTGTTAAAATGACAAACACAGTAAATTATGCCAGATGCGCATGAATTTGCATTTTTCTGCAGAAACATTCATTACTTCTATATTCTTTTGCTCAGCATTCAGCATGCGGTTGTAAAAAGAGTATTTAAGAGAATCTTCCCAAAATCCGTTTATATTTTTATTTGTTTATAACATAAAGAATCATAAATGGCTTATAGATATGATTTGATGCAGTGCAGTGCATGTGAAAGTCGTTCGATTGTTTAAATTCTTATTCTTATTCTCATTCTCACACCGAGCGAAAAACCTCATAAAAGAGATGTACATTTGTAAATTCGCCAAAGACATGCAAGTTAACGGAAGAAGGAAAGAAAGAATGAGAAAGTGAACAAAAAATTGTGATGAGAATAGAACGAAAGAAAAAAAAATGAGTGTTGTCTACGGCTTAGCGATTAGGTAGTGCAGGTAGAACGTCGCAATTAGTTGAACAAGAGTGAGAGAGAAATGAGCCGAATAATTATTTCATTGTTTTTACGATGGAGATATTGTCGATTGTTGTCGTCTACATATATGGCTTTTGTTTCTTTCGTCTTTTTTCTGCGTCTCGTTTGCGTTCGCCGTGTAACTCAATCGAATACGTGTGAATGTATGTGTGCCTAACTGTCTACAGACACTGCGTTAATGCGTGTATGCATTCGTTTGTATTACGATGATCGTTTAACAACAGACGACGTCTCTCTGTGACCGGCGTATGTGTGCGTATATGTATTAGTGTACTACCCTTCTCAGTCGATTCTGACGCGCGATGTATGTATTGAGTTTGAAAATAGCCATACATATGGCATGCACAACACCGCATTGTATTCATCATTCTATTTCAACTGTCAAACCAACAACAAACGAAACGAGACGAATAACGAAAAAGAAACGTATTTTGTATTTTTCATGTTAATTTAATTAGAAAAGAATCAGTTTTTGTGGTCGTTTTGTGAAATTTGTGCATTATTTTATATTTTGTATAAATAAAATTGAAGAAAATCCAAGAAAATTGCGTTCAAATGTAATATACACGTAAGTGTGATAATGATTGCTTGAAATCGATTACTTGGAATCGACTGCTAAATTGAATTTAATTGCGTATCTTAGGTTCAAGGCATAATCCGTATTGATGACGTCTATTTTCGAATACGAACAACAACGACGACGACCTTTACCGTGAATTTATACCGTGTGTAATTTATAATAAATTTTGTCAACGACAACTGCAATATTTGGATAAAACTAGTGACTGAATAGCAAATTCAAAGTGTAAGACCCGACAATGAGAGAATATCAACCGGCTGGTTTATTTGTGACGGCTGCGTCAACGTATGCAAACCAAACAGCAACCGAAGCACCAACAACCGATCATCCAATGCATTCAATGTTGAACGGCATCGAGTCCGGAATACGTTCACCAATGTCGACGGACAGTCAGCTTTCGTTGTTGACAACAGCATCATCCAGTGTTTCACAATCGCCACAGTGCGATTGGCCGGAATTTCAAGAAAATTACAATTCAATTATGGACAATACAAATTTACTCGATAGTTGTGCGGCTGCATTGAATGACATTAGCAGCGGTGAAGATGGACTGTTTACAATTCAAGCGGAAAAATTGCGAAAATTCAATCGTTCGCTTAGTTCAACAACAAGTTCATCGTTCGGATCGGATCCGGCGTTGGCAACGTCTGTTACATCGGAAAAATGCGTTGAACAATTTACGAAATGGCTTTGTGAAATGGAAAATCGAGTTGCGGCCCAACCAAAACTATTGAAAATCAGTGCAATGAAAGCGAAACAAAAGGCCGCTCAAAAGGAAATCCATTCAAATATTTACAAAGAAATTGTCGCACAACCGTGCATTGTAAAAGGAAACGAACACAAGTCGCTTCAAGAACGATATCATGTGTTATATTTAAAAGTATACGAGGTGTTAATATTGCTTGAAGGATTGCCCGCCAACATTTTTTCGCCATCATCAAATCCCATTCTCGGTGAATCATTCAACGAATTGGAGTGTAGCTCGAGTACAGAAAGCAAAGAACATTCATCAGATCACGTTGACCATGGTGATAATGAACATGAACATTTTGACTATGAGTACAGTGATAAAACCATCGATACAGAACAAAAAACACCAATTTACACTGAAACCAGCGTGTTATCAACGAGCATTGGCACATACTATTTCAACTATGACGATAGCATCGTACAACAACAAACAAATGATGATAACATTCAATTGAGCAGCACTATTTTTGAAAACAATGATAAGGAGTTTACATTTGAACATGATTTGCATTCATTGCTCAATGCAACCGATAGCCTGTGCATCAAGTCATACGGTGAACATACAGCAGTTTCAGAAGGGCAACGACCAATTCAACAACATTTACAGCCGAACGAAACGTTTGATCCGAAGAAAAAATACATTTGGAATGAAATCGATTTTAGTAAATTGGCCGCCGAAACACAACCGCAAGGAAATTGTCTAACGAACGATTATCATCACAAAGTGTTCGATTGGTTGCACACGAAAACGACAACGACACCCGCCGATAGTTACAAATCGAAATCAACGGTTAGTTTGGACGGTTTAACAGCAAGAACGATCGAAGACGACTATCGTCTGGTATATCGTGCCAAATCGGAAATGGATTTATCGAAAAGTCATCAGTGTCATCGATTGGATACGTACAATCGGACGTCATCGTTGCACACTTCAGTAAATTGTTTGCCAACGAATTTGAGTCCAAGCAAACGCTTATCGACGTCGTTAAGCGATTCAATTCCGGAGGAAAGTTCATTAATTTGGGATAACTTTCAATTGGCCAATGAATTTATGAAATCAGATAGTGATTTTGCCGGCAGCGATTTGGATACGAAAGATTTAATCAATAAATTGTGCTACTTTGGCGATGATTATTCGATGCATTTGAACGATGCACTCGTCGCCAACACAACCGAAAGTGAAAATGAATCAGTCCAGAGTGTTGCCAAATCACCGAACAAAGAAAAGACGATATTGAATGTCTTCGAAACGCCACCATCGTCAAAATGTGAATTGATTAAAACTAGACGCAGCCGTCGCATTCGTAACAAACGCTTCAAAAATTACTCAACAACTTCAACATTAGATTCGTCATCGTCTGCATCACATTCAACATTCTCACTGGATCAATCATCCGATGCTAATTTATCCGAAGCCACAACGGCATCAGTCAATTCAAATATTCACGTTGATGATTCACAATCGGCAATAACACACACCGCATTCGTACCCGAACAGACAATTTCGTACAACACTGATGAAAAACAATTTGAACTACACACAAAGGACCACAACGAACCAAAGAAAATGAAAATTAATGAAATGCGACCCGAAGACTTTTATGACATTGTCAAAATGTGTCAGAGTAACATCGATTGTGTGATAACAGTTTTGGGCGCTGAATCCGGTCGCATTCTCACCGTTGCTTATTGCCAACAAATGAAGTACGAACGATATCAAAAGTCAAACAATGAAACATGCAAATGCGAACAACAACAACACCAACACCAACAAAACACGAACACAACCATTGAAAATATGCAAATGACAAAAGAGACGGAATGCAATTGCAACGGTCAAATCGCCATGAGTATATCGAACGAAACGTGCATATGCAGTTGGGTATCGCATCAAATAGCAATGATATTAAATTTTCTCATCGATTGTTGGAACGTTTTCCGAAACATGAAATTATACACGTATTTGTGCCGGGTTACCAAGGCTCTGTTCGGTTCAACGCGATACGTGGCCGATCACCTCAAAGCAAAAAAAGACATTGTCAACGTCAAAGCAATCAAATATTCATGAAATAAAATAAAATTTGAACAAAAGTAAGTTAGGATTTTTGAAATCGTATCGCATATCACTTTTGCAAATGTCACAAGTGTCAATTATTAACTTAGGAAGAAATGAACTATCAATATCGTCCATTTATCTCATATCAATTTATAGAGTTTTTTTATGGTGTTAATTTTGGATTCGTGGCGAATATTGCGTGAAAAGATAATGCACAAAATCTATTTCGTAACCAGTTTAACAATTCTCATTGAATTCGTAATAATACCGATAAGTGATTTAATAAAAACGAATATCGTTATCAAAATGTTTAGAATAATATGACCAAAGGGAAAAATGTTGAAAAATGAATATTGAAAAATGTTCGAGTATAAGAGTGTTAAATAAAAATTCAAACTAAAATCAATTTTTTATTCACATTTTTTGTATATGTTTTTTTGCTTTGATTTCAATAAAGACTGCCATTCAAAGTGTGTAAGTATATAGAAAGGCAAGGAAATGTGTAAAAATAGAACTCATGTATAAGCACAGTCACACGACTAATGGCATACGTAACACGGGTGCATTGTCTTCAAATCAAATTTTGTTTATTTAACAGAGAGTATTGAACGATGAAGTTCTTCGAAACAAACAAATGCTTACATAAAATGTGACAAACACTGTAATTTAAATGCATAATTATGGTTTTGAGAGCACACTTCGCAGTATGTTGCTACGCGTAACTTTCATTTCAATAAAATTCTTATCAAATAATTAGAACAATTATACTCAACAATTAGAAGTCCTGCACAAAATTCAACAACGCATTCAAATTATAGCGAATCAATAATTGATTTAATGATAACATAAAACGGTTTTTAATCCGAAATACAATACTTTTTTGGATGAAATAAACACCATTAATTGAAGCCGTATTAGCATTTGTGCACAATTATTATTCGAAATTTACGTAATTATTAAATCACGTCGATTCAATTTACGTTGCATTCTCAGAATTGTTTTGAGAATTAATTTGAAAAAATTTCGTTACTCGTTCTATATTCGACTACGATTTCACTTTGGTTTCATTATAAGCCTAAGAATAAACGGTTTCTCGCAAACATTTACGATTAAAAAATAATCATGACAAAATAGACTTTTGGACCTTGATTTTGATATAAAATTAAATCTAATCTAAGTGCAAGGGTCATTGACAACATGCATATGTTTTATTGATTAATCAATTATTAATCACTTTCGAAACAGAAATAGAGGAAACAATTGTAAAATTTAGTCTCTTTTTAAATGTTCTTGTGCAACAGTTGAAGCTCAAAATTGTTAAATCAGTGTTTTCTACAAAGTGCTTTACTTTCTTCAAATAGAATGATATCCGTCAAACATTACGCTACATGTTTGATATTGATGTTCATTTTCATTGAAGGTACACATAGCGATTAAATGATATAAATATTTGAAAAGTTTCATTCAGAATGATCTGTAAATGTTTTTTATTTGCAAAATTGGGATATGAAAATATTGTTATTGAAGTAGTGATTTAGTATTGAATGTGAATCATTGTGTTGGGGATTTTTCGAAATAAGGGAAACTGTGGTGAAAAACGAAGCCGGAGTATTTCCCCAATGTCTGATTTTGTTTGAATTTGCGCATGTGCTGAACAAGTCTATTATTTTCTATTTTTCTCTATTTTTATCGAAACATTTGTTCATAAACTGAAGAAAAAAAAACGCCGAATCAAACATTTATAATTAATTTTACCTATAAATGTAACTTTTACCTATAACCTTGGCCGATGATGATAAAAAGTCCAGCATTTATCTTATTCTCGCGATATTATAAATATGGTCACTTCCCCGCCGCCAAAACCACACACATACAATAGTAAAAATAGTAGCACCAATACGCAATTCGATAACACGAACCGCTCATTAAAAATGTGCACAATTGACGAATCCGTCAACGAATAAGATTTGTTGTTATTGTCGAATGTGAGCCGATCACCAACCGATGTGCACATCGTTTTCGATGCCGTATATCCAATGCTGTGCCGTACATTTTTTGGCGGATTTCAATGTGTGTCTATGCCTACAGCTCGTTCGTATTTTGTTAAACAACAACAATGTGATTTTCCTTTTGTTGAAATCATTTTTGGTTGTTATTGTTGTTGGTTGTATGGTTATTCGCCTTTTGCGGGGGAAATACCGAAGAAAATCGTTGTATGTTCACCATAGTGGATGGCCACTGTGCGAGCAAGAGACTGGTTTGTGTACTGTTGACGCTATATCGTCATAATTTTTCGTGTATTTGCTAAGGGATGAACGCATTCACATGGTTCATGTGATGTGTGTTGTCTGGCTGTCGTGCGCTCGGTTTGGGAAAATTGAAAATGTGCGTGTTCCATCCCGCCAACGAACCGTATTGTATGACTGCTATATTGTATGCGAAAACGATTTTACGGATAGATTTAAGCTAAAGCAAATATCCTTTTTGCTTATGGTGTGTGTATATGGTGACGACTTGCACAGAAGAAGTCAGTAAGTTTCAAGCGATGCACGAAAGCGGTTGTGTTTTCGATTCAAGCAAATAAACGGCTTTTTTTGTTCAGCATTCGCATCTTACACATCGTACCGACAACAGTGTATTTAATATTTTATCGATGAATTCAAATCTTGCGATCGTGTACTTAACGACGTTCATCATAAAATAGAGCGAAATATTTAAATTGAAATTTTACCGGTGGTTTTGAACAGTTTTCGTTTTAAATGATTGAAACCAATTTTTAAGATCAAATAAATGCAATTTGTTTTCGGTTCGACGATAAATATTTTCCGAATGAATGAAAGTGTTTGAATAAAATTTTAACGATTCGAAATGACAATTAAAATTTAGTGTTGGTGTTTTACTATGATTTTTCACGACCCCATAAATGTGTATGCATTTCGGGAGTGATGATCAAAAATTTAATTTAAATAAAACAACAAAATCCGACCTAATTATATTTAACCCGCGTGAAGAAAAATAAATTGTAGTAAAAAAAAGAGTGTGTGTTAAAACGAAATACCTTAATTTAAATTAATTACAATTAAAATTTAGAGAAAGAGAGATAAAAATGCAACCAATTATAGCGATCAACCTATTTTTTGTAATCCTTTATGCGAGAGGTCAGTGAAAAATATCTCATTTTTTAAATATTTTTTTTTTCAAACAAAAATCTTAACGTATAAAAAACAATCTCCGTTAACTTGAACACCGATAAAAAATTCCCTTGAAATAATTTATCCGATTGAATGATACGATTGCAGTAAACTAACAGTATTTTAAATCAAATAGAGTGCATTTTGTAGAATGCAATGTTTTGGTGTGTGTTTGTTAGAGAAAGAGAAGTAAATTAAGTCGAGATAATTCGTGTTCGGACGAAAAATTCATTTGGAACTGACCACATTAAAAAGCGGTATGGTTTTTTGGGTGGCTAACCATTTTTGTTCGGAATGAGCACAAGTGTTCGGTGCCTAATTATCAAGCTCAAGCGATCTTGTTCAACAATAATCGTGTTTGAGTGCGAAATGGATTTCACGGGAAATCAACAATTCGAGCAACAACACAGAGCGCTGCAATTGGATTTACTTCATTTTGTTACTCTCTCTCTCTCTCTCTCTCTCTCTCTCTCTCTCTCTCTCTCCCTTACTCTTATCGCTGTTAAACTTGAATGAGATTTATTTGGTTGAAGAGCCGCACTCAGCGCATTGCTAAAATGAATGTAACCGACCAAATAACAACTAAAATAGTCAACTTGCACAAACTGAACTTCGTACAACGTTCAAGCAATTAATTCTATTCTTTCAACGCTTACACGTGCATAAAACGGAAGTTTCCGCTGTGTTTGCTTTGCACCAAATAAATAAATATGTGATTTCGTAGACAATGATCTGAAACACACGAACATTCAAAGTGTTTCGTTGTAGCCAGATAGAACAAGAGAGAATTAAAGAGAGGATGTGGTTGTTGTCAAGATGGCAATTCAAAGAGAAAAGATAAATGTATTGTGTTACGAAGAGGACCAAAAACCAGGAAATCGATTGAGATTAATTCGTTTACCGCTTGAGTTGTTATTCACTTAGAGTGTAAAATGCCAAGTTTTCCCAAGGTGCACTGAATATTCGATGCAGTACACGTTGCACACAAACTAAATGAAGTAAATTTAAATTTGAAATTTAAACGATGACATTCGATTTCCGTAGAAAATGCTCGATTGGTTTGGTGTTTTCCGTTTATTAAATTTAAAGTCTTGGAAGTAAATTGAAATGAAATCCTCCCCTCTCTGGAAGTGTTCATTGTCCATTCTCTTGACCGTCACATTTTATGACTTTCTCTATATAACGCATTTTAGTATTGCATTTTCAAAATTAACCAGTGTCTGATTATGGCGCGCGGCACACAATAATCACTTAATAAAAGAAAAGTGATCGAATTGGTTGAAAATTACGATTTCACTGCATGTCGTAAATGTTCCATGCCATCGTTTGTTTGTTGTGAATGAGTTGTTGCCATTCTTGCTATTTACAAATAAATTAAATCATACGTTTTTTTCTATGTTTCGTTGCGGTTTATTGTTTTACGGCACATTTATTTGAGTGCATGTTAGCGCCAACGAATGTTGGCATTCAATGGTTTCGCCAAGTTGTTTTCGACAAGTTTTTCTCGAAAATCGGTGGAAATTTCAAGCAGTTGAAAGGAGAGAGAGAGAGAGAGAGAGAGAGAGAGAGAAAGAGAGAGGAAAAATACATACACACGACAGAACTGAATTGAGCAGAAAAATTCAGTCGGCTGTCAGTGCAATGGCAATGGCATCGTTTTCACATGTTAAATGGAATGTTGCCGTTTTTTCACATGCACATTTCGAGCAATTCGAAAATGTTTTGGCACTGCTTCAGTTGTTTCGACGATTTTCTACTATTTGGTTCACCACCATCAGCACCCCCCCAACATCAAAGAAAAAAATTCTTCAACGAGAAACTCGTTCGGTGAAAATTTATGTGATACTCTCGTTCGCTCCTTTGCCAATTCGTTCAATGCAGTATTTGTGCACGTAATGCATTTATATGTGTAATAATAAGTTAAGTTTTTCCCAAAGTTTTGAATTTCTATTATTCTCTGCCATTTAATCTGATTAAGATTTTATTTATACGTATCAAGTGCTTTGTATGTATGTGCATGTGTGTGAATATATCGTACCTGCATATCTTCACAATAAACCATTTCCGATTTATGGAGCAAAAATAGCACGAACCGTCTATTTCATAGGCTTCAATTAAATTTGTCACACGTTGAATGAGAAAAAAGCAGTGACAGAGACAGCAAAGGTTCGAAAATCTTGATTCTATTTTTCTTCTTCTGCCCAACATTGACATGAAACGCTTGAACTGTGCTGAGTTGCCTAAATGGTGCATAAATCGGTGTTGTGAAACGATTCAATAATCATAAAATCGAAGCGAAAGCACAACCAGTATTGGCAACACATTGAATTGCGAATATCGACCATAGTTCAATCTTTTTGTTGAAAAAGAACGCGAGCGAGATAGGAGGAGAGGGAAAGAGCGGAAACCAAAGAGAACATTGAAAACAGGGCAATAAAGAAATAAATAAATAACATTGAAAGTTTGTTTGTTCGACAACAACAGAAACACAACCCTCGATTACGCTCACTCTCACTTGTTATACGCCATCCGTTCAGATCGTTCGGATTGTCTGTGCACACAAAGCGTGCAAAAAAAGAGAACAGAGCGGTAACGATGAGAACAGCAACCATTTCTTTCGACTCGATGTGTTTATTTGCGATCTGGGATTTTTCTGCAATAAAATCAGCGTGTTAATACCAAAAAGAGCGTTTTACAGAGCGCGAAATCGACAAACAGGGAGTATGAGAGAGGCATACATAACTTGCATTGTGAATCAGACTTTTGGTGATTATTGCCGCTTTCTTTCTCTCTCTCTGTTTGTGTTTTTCCTCCATTTTTCTCTTTTCATGTCGACTGAATGAATGCATTTAGCGCTTCTGTTTACAAGGTTAATTCGATTGTTGGTTTCGATGTTAATGGGCGCTTTGCACGACACTTGCGCGCCACTTGACTGACTAAGTGGCTAGTTTGGCTTTAAATTTCTGTCATTCTGATTTTAAAATAAACAAATTACATAGACAGAACTAAATTCCTGTCATTTTGGCTTGAATTTGTCGCCTAATAAATGTCCATTCTTTATACAAAGTTCTCATTCGAAAACTTTTCGATAACAAGCCATAAATAACCAATAAATGTTTAATCTGGCGCGCATTGTTCGCGTCGCGACTGTTGAAATTCCGAACAGATAAAGTTCGTGCCTAATAGAAACGTCGATGATATAAGCTGAACGAGTAAATTGCTCATGCTTTATTCGATTTCGATTAATACGCTTTGAAACATACATCCTAATAATAATAATCGAACCATAAATGTGCGAACAAACAGAAAGCTACAATAAAACCAAAAAGACGTGACAGAAAAGAAAACGACGAAAAGAAAAATTAAAAAGTCTTTACGAAAATTGCTCAAACTTTTCAAAACTTTTTAATTCGATAGAGAATAAGATAGAGAAAAAGAAACCACCACGTTTATCACAATTGCGATAAAAAAAACTTTTTTATGACATATATTTTCTGTATTTTTTATGATTGTGTATTAAGAACTAACATAAATAGATTCATTATTTATGGGCTATGTATGGCGCACGGTTGGTATAATTTTACAAACTTTAAACTAGAACTTTTTTTAATGTCACATTTTTATAGCGATTGCTCTCTTTTTTTCACTATATGTATTTGAATTATATTATTCTTGGGCCTGATCAGGCGATATACTCATTTTTCCGTTTGAACAAGCATAAAATCAGCGTTAAAATCGATTGAGAAAATCCATCGATGTTTTAATGACACTTATACCATTTACAAATTTGAAAAATAATTTAATTTTTCCCATGTTTATTTATCACCCACTTCGTTTGTCTTCAATGCAACCCCGTTCTGTGTATTTGTGTTTCTCGGGTGTCTTCTTCTTGAAGCTATCGTTTTGATTTTCGGATTTTGCGGTTTCAATGCGGGATCTCACAACAAAGTTGACAATTCAGACTTTGTGTGATAGTTTGTGCGTGTGAAAATGACAAAGTTTTCTATACACATTGGGGAACCCAAACGTTCTTCTCCTCCTCGCATCTCTTTCGACCAAGACAGAAAACTTTTTTTTGCTGATTCGAAGGGGGTTTCATGCAAATACGAACGGGAATGAACATTAAATGCATGCGAGACATGCCACGACTGCAATCATCTCAAAAATGTTTCCGTATCCACGTATTCAACACATCGTCAGCCGAAATGTAGTTTGAACGACAGAAGTTGAATGTGAATTGTGTGCTGAAAAAGTGAAAACCAAATAATAAAAAAGACGAACACACACACAGACTAATAGAGAAAAAACGACATTCGACAAATTCGAGACTCGTATGAAGAACTTCTTGAAAATGATGTTTATTTTAATGTTTGAGTGTTACTGCATATGATGAGATTGACTTTGGACCAAGTTTCGGCTAAACGTAGCGAGCAATGGATGGGATAGAGAGCAAAAAAATCCAAAAACGTAGAGAAACAAAAATGAGTGAGAAATAGAAAGAGTAAGCGTTGAATTGTCGAAAATGTGTGATTGAAGTGAAAAATATTGCAGCCGAAGCGGAGGAGTGTATATATTTCTTTTGCTCTAGGGCACATACTATATAACATATATTCAAATTTCTGTGAATAATTTTTGAAATGATAAAATATCGTGGCGCTAAAATTTCCGTGTCACGTATTCGTAGTTCACTAGTACATAATCATTTTGCGGGTGCAATGTTGCTTAATTTAAAGCTTGTCGTTTGTATATGTAGCAAGCAATAGCGTCGTCATGCAACTTTCTGTCAAATAGATTAACGTCTTCTTTTGAACACAAAAATGCATCATGTCACGTTCAATAAGGATGTGCTACTAAAAACGCCAAAATCAACAACAGCCACAAAAAAGAAAATTTCATGAAAAAAGTTTTGTGCGGTAAAAAGTTTTCATAAATTACTTAAAACTGCACTATCGAAACAAAGCATTCGC